CGCAGAATTTTCCCTCCCATCGGTGCTTTTATGGAATTGCGCTCTAGCGCTAATTTGCCCTGTTTAGTAAAACTGGCCCTATTTAATTACTAATAATATTAATAAATGGCAGTGTTTTCTTTCTTTATATATTTATTTATCTTTTTATTAGCGTACAGTAGATGTGTGTTGTGTTGGCACTTACTGTCCAATGTAAAATCTGGATTCTGTTGCGAAACCGGTGGTTCAGAAATTCTGAATTACTCAATTTCAGTCTGAAGACAGACATACTAAGACATTTGCCGTATTATTGACTGTGCCACCAGGCTTAGATGCATTTGTCTATGCAAATCAGCCGATAGAAATCATTCTGACTGACAATTATGGAGGCATATAAATAACTCCACAGGTTTCAAATGTCGCTTCCATAATTCAACTGCAGTGGCAAAAACTCTCTACCCATCATGAGAGTGAGTCAGCTTGACTTTCATTTCACCTTACCAAAGGCAGATGGAGATGAATAGAGAGAGCTTTCATGAATTTAAATAACTGTAATGCACAGTCGCACTGTTCTTAATACTGAGTTATTATCCTTATGACACTGAAAAAAAATTAAATGCTTGTATTTATGTTTATTCCTGGATTTTCTTTTTTTCTTGTTTTTTGCTTTTCTTGGATTTATTTTTGCCTGATGTACTAGACTGTACGAAAACAACAGAATCGAGCAAAGCTATTAATTCTTGAAAGAAACAAACACTTATGACACAAGTTCATTCTTTGCCCTACAGTTATTATCCTATTCATTCGCTAGCGTATATGTTCACTCATAAGCCACGTATCGTGTTTTTGCACTTATCAAATGTCTCTGTGCGCGCCACAGAAAATGCATCTTAATACTAGGCCCTAAGGTGATTTGAGCCAACCTGCATATATTGTGGAGTGGATGCTGATAGCTCAGAATGTTATGCCAGTGGGCTGGTATCCCCAGCAGGCTTTTTAACTAGCTTAGCAAGACCAGGTTCACTAGAAAGACCATGCTTGTTCACTAGAAAGACCAAGTTTTGCTGGTCAAAAGCATATACTGTACCAGTAAACCATCTAGATCAGTTTAAACCAGCGAATGATCATACAATGGACTACACACCTGTTAAAATTAAACCTTTTTAAGATGAAAATGAATTTTACTTAGATTAATTGTTTACATCTGATAAAAGTTGCAATTTTAATAGGGGTGTTGTAGACTTTTTATATCCAGTATAGATTTGTGTCAGATGAAAAAAACAAACATGAATAGTTTGTAACTGTTAAACCACACTTGGATCAGGTGTGAAAGCTTGCAAAAGGAGACTCTTGGTTGACAAAAAAAGTTCAAAATGGCCCCTTTTATGACACTTGTGCAAAACCTCAGCAGCCATTTCATGCTTCTCCCATATTTTTACACCACTGTACATCCAGAGATGATGCTTTCTCACTAGCTGAGATTTGTGAAGAAGCTTTGCCACAAATTGTCAAGAGAGTTTTTGAGGTGGAGTGCGCTTTCAGTGCCATGTGTAAATTGAGGGAATCTCACTTGGAGATGAGTCCCCAGGGTCCATCGCTAAAACCAGCTCATACAGTGATCCAGAGTATTCAAGTCTCTGCCTGTTTGGTGTCAAGGGAGCTTACAAAACATGCACTGGCGCTGTGAATTGCACGTCATCTTGGTATAGAAATATTCCAAGGAGTGTCATTCTGTTCTATATCTGTGCTATCTGCTGACCCTCTCGCTAAATTAATCATCTGTTCTGAGGGTTTTTCTTGCTTAACACTGAGCTTACAATACTTAACTCTCTCAGTTTTCTACTGTATAGGGTTATAATGCTTTGATGAAAATATTTTTTTACAACAATATTAGTTGTCAACAAATTTTCCCTGATCTGATTGATTGTCATTGATCTAAAGTCCTTACAATGATCTAAGGGTCATTACAAAGGTCATTCTAAGGAAACATTTGTGTGCTGTTCCCATGATATACTACTGACATACATAAAATAATTAAGTCACATTATTTGATACATTTTATGTTTAGCATGACATAAAAAAAATTTTTTTTTAAAAAGTCCACATAGTACACTGAACTCTTTATTCCAAAAAAGCAATGGAAATCATGTTTTCCATGATGTGACCCCTTTATCCCTCAGGTCCTGGAACAATGGAAATGGTCTTTAAATGCCTTTATATCACATACAGTCTGCTTCCATTCATCTCTGTTCAGATGATTTACCTCAGGCCAGATATTTTTCAAAGCTTGGCAGCAGCAGTATCTTCCATATATTTTCCGAGTTAGTGGCTGTATTTAGCAATCTTACACCTAGTGACTTCCATAAGCGGACTGTTCATACCATTACAGCTTCTCAGCAGTTAGTAAAACATTAGCTCAGCGATTTTATTAGGCATGTTGGTTGATACATTATAGAATTTAGAAAAATTCTAAGGCAGCACTGCATGCATTTTTGAGGAAAAGACAATCTCACAATACTTTGCAACAGATTTATTTATTTTATTATGTTCATTATTTTTTTAGCATGTTTGAACATTCGGGGTGAATAACTATGCAATACTTGAATAACCATAAAAAACTGGTGTAACTCGAATTACCATATATTTTGTTGAAAATTATGGCTACCACAGTATGTTTTTGCAAGAGGAACCAGAATTTTATTTTGTGTGACTTTGACTTTGGGCTTGGAGTTTCATGAATGTTAGACATGGCATGAATTACAGATTTAATTTTTAATGAGCTTTTAGGTTGGCACATTAAAATGTGTATTGATCAGAACTATTTGTACAAAGACCTTCTTGCTGCATTTCAAAAACATGATGTAATGGTTCAGAATTCCTTAAAAAAGTTAAAAATGCGAGCAACATATGTTAAAACATATTATATTTTATATTCAGTGCAAGATACATCATCGACTTCAAAGCAACAGTTCACGCAAAAATTCTGAAATTCTGGCATTATTTGCTCTCATCTAGAAATTCTGTAGAATCTTCACACAAAGGGATACAATTATAGAATTTTAATTGACAATCCTCCCTCTTCATTGCAGCTCTCAAATGTTATTCACCACAATCCACATTCAGACTTGCATGTCACCTTCCCGTACAGCACTTGGAAGAAGTGTTGTGCAATGGTGCGTCGACAAACCATTTTTGAATCTGAATGCAACCTAAATGATATTTCAGAGCTACAGCCAATTAGACGATTATGAAAGAATATCAATTTATCAACTTATCTATGTTTCTCACACAAGCCTATTACAATGGGTTTGGAGAGTGAAATAGTGAAATTTCCAAGTCATACAGATATTGTGATTCAGAACAAGTGGTCTGATTCTCCTGAGACTGATGGCGACCTGTTCTGCCCAGAGAGATGTATAATTCATAAAGCACTGAACTTTGTCCTAGCCGTGTGCTGTGCAATTGATATTATTACAGTTACAGTGTTTACTAAGCAGTAATCATGCTGCATCGTTTGAGCTTTAATGTAATTTTCTGTCATATTGTCACGCCCCTGGACTCTATCTGTGTTTTTTTCCTCCCCCACGTGCTCCATGACCCAGTTTTCTCCCATGTTAATTGTTTAATTAGTTCCAGGTGTTTCTCGTCATCCCCTCCTCTAGTCCTGTTTATTTAAAGTAAGTCCTATTCAGTGTTCCGTTGTCTGGTATTGAATGTTGTCTCCCCGCTACATGTGTGTTCCTGGTTCCTTTGATCTCAAATAAAGTCAGTTCGTTGGAAGTTTACTCCTCGTCTCCTCGTTCCTCGCTCCGTGCTCCTCACAGTAGCAGTACGTGACAGGATACCAGACCGAAACAGTAACCCTCGTGTCTTCCCTACGTTTTTGCTTTCCGTGTTTTACCCAGTGTTTTTTGTTTCCGTTGTGCCCTTATGAGTCCCCTCGCCCTGAATATCTCCTCCTCCTGCTGGAGCAGGGGGAAAAATCGCTCGAGGGCCACACCAGACTGTTCCTGGTCCTCGCCAACCTCTCCAGCTACCCGGTCGACGCGCTCTATGCGTTCTATGATGCCAGTTTAAACTCCGCGTACAGAGTGCCAACGTCCGAGGAAGGCCCTTGAGCGATTTCTCCCAGCCCTGTCTCCGAGTGTAGCCCTGAGAGGGCTCCAGTCCCCGAGTTTAGCCCAGAGAGGGCTCCAGTTCCTGAGTTTAGCCCAGAGAAAGTTCCTGTTCCCATGTCTAGCCCAGAGAAGGCTCCTGTTCCCACGTCCAGCCCTGAGAGGGCTTCTGGTCCCAAGTTAAGCCCAGAGGCTCACAAACGTTGACCATCCTTCGCCTCGGGACTCCACTCCTCTGTCTGCGCCTCGTTCCTTCGTCCCTCCGGCTCTGTCAGGCTCCTTCATCCCTTCGGCTCCTCCTCAGTCCTCTGTCGCTCCGGCTCCACCGCTGCCTTTCGGATCCACGCCTCCGCGTCAGTCGTCAGCGCCATCTGCTCCGCCTTGGCCCTCCGGATCCTCCCTGTCGCCTTGGCTCATTGGCTCTCCGTCTCCGCCTCGGGCTCCTCCTCCCAAGTTCCCACCCGTTCCCCCCTCTGTTGTTCTACGGCGCGAGGATGCACCTTCCGGGAGGGGGACGATATGTCACGCCCCTGGACTCTATCTGTGTGTTTTTCCTCCCCCACGTGCTCCATGACCCAGTTTTCTCCCATGTTAATTGTTTCATTAGTTCCAGGTCTTTCTCGTCATCCCCTCCTCTAGTCCTGTGTATTTAAAGTGAGTCCTATTCAGTGTTCCGTTGTCTGGTATTGAATGTCATCTCTCCCCTCTACGTGTGTGTTCCTGGTTCCTTTGATGTCAAATAAAGCCTGTTCGTTGGAAGTTTACTCCTCGTCTCCTCGTTCCTCGCTCTGTGCTCCTCACAGTAGCGGTACGTGACACATATGACATAAGGTTTTGCATTTCACTGCCAAATGGGTATTTATTTGGTAAGATAGCAATGCCATATCAGCCAAAACAGCACTGATAATGAAGGATGGTAATGAAATGGTTATATACGCACCGTCAGCAGGAGATCACGACTCTTATTATCACAAGTTCCTTTACATATTCTTTCAGCAGGACAAACAGTTTATGACTTCTGAATGGTTTTTACTCTGATGCTTCAGGGTAAATTTGACTGATATACATATTCTAAGTCAGTTAATAAATTGCCCTGATATCTGTCATCCTCAGGTGTGACCATGAAGCTGATGGATGAGGTGGCAGGGATTGTTGCTGCTCGTCATTGCAAGACCAACATTGTGACCGCATCTGTGGATGCCATTAACTTCCATCGCAAGATCAAGAAAGGTAATTAAAAAATACATGTGTTGCCTCTTTTACATTGTAGCATAGAGAATATTGTTGGGACGAGGTTTCTGATTCTCACAGAAATCTCACAGACATCTGATTTCCTTTATGATTGGAAAGCTAAACTTAGTTCATGTCATTTCCAAAAAAGAGTTCAGTTGTGAAGTTACAGATAGACTGTGGACAGCCTTTAAGTAGCTTGGGTTGTAAACAGGTTTGTGGAAAATTGCATACATGATGTATTGCTTAATACTAGTGTAGTTTGCCAAACATAAGGTCTGTATTGTCATCTGATAGTTCACTGGACCACAAAGCAATTTTAGTGATTTATTCTCAGTTCTTGTTTTGTAAAAGATAGGCAGTTGAAAGATATAACATATTATTTATTATACTGCGGCACATTACTCTGTTAGAACTTGTTGCATCCCAGATTGGATCTGGGATATACAGTACATACTGTATACACACACACAGAATTGATTGAGATCAGTTACCATTTTTTACAAAGCTGTATTCACAAACCTTTTAAACATATTATATACTGAGCAAACTCTGATGCAGTGTATATTATTTGCTGATGCAGTATATTTTATTATAAGAATTCATTATTTCATTATTAGTCATTATTTCAACCAAAAATTATCTGTTTTTCATATATTGTGTCTTTCAAAACCCAAGCTCTTCTCTGGAGCACAAGAGTGCACTTGGTGCACTTTCCAAGAAGTCAGAAATGATGTCTTTCTGAACGTAGCATTAAAACAGTCTATCTGCATAATACAGCATCCAGGATTCTTAGTTGTTGTTGTTGATGATGATTTAGAAGACATTTTTAGAAGAACATTTGTTTGCCATGTTATCATCCTGTAAATACAGTGCTTGTATTGTACTTTATGTAACAAAGAATGGAAGAAAACAACAGCATCATTGATATTCAGTGTATATACAATGGATGACACTGTGACTGTGCATAATTTCACAGAAGCAAAGACTTTTCATCCTTCCACTAAAATAAACTGAAAGCTTGAGAACGCATGAAGCCTTGAGGTTTACTATTCTTTCATATTAAATGACTGAGCAAAAATGAATTATTCATTCCATGAATTATTATGCTTATTACTTTCTCCATTCATTCATTACTCATCTGACTCATTCATGTTTGCACACTCTAAAACATTTGCATGTGCTAATACTATGGGACTTGACAAACAAACCCATGCTCTATTATAGCTGTGTGTAAATAAACAAAAGGCACATTCTTTTTAGTGTGTTCTAAAACCTTGCTCGTAATCACTCTACGTTCAAAGCCATTTGTGTCCTTCTGACATGAACTTGGTAAAGCTTTCAGGATTTTGAATTATTCAGTTTTCTCTGGCTTATTTCAGTGGCAGTGACTGTGGTTGGGTCTTAACTTTTCGGCGTTCATTTCTACATCAGTAGCATCACCAAACAGAATTGCAACAGTAATAAAAATGTCTGCAGTTGGCAGGGCAAACAAATAGTCCCAAAGTAAACTCTGCCTGGCTAGTCAAATGTGCAGTCGGAAAGAGCAATGATCTCATGCAACACAGTCTGCTTAGTGCTCTGGAAGAGGAAATGGTTGGGTAAATGTGAAGTAAATGTGTGTAAATGTGCAGTAACAGCAGTCTTACCTGTTGATGGTTTATTAGTAACACTGCGGCATGTCTGAAGGATTAGTTCACTCAAAAATGTATTTATTTAATCCACATATCTTTCCAAACCGTTATTGTGTTGTTTTTCTATAAATTTTCCCAAAACAAATGCCTCACAAAAAAAAAGCATTCTACAGAAACAATTTGGAAAGATTTTAGATTAGGGAATACATATTCACCATTAACTGAGAGTTTTCCCTCAATACACACCCAATCTGCTGCTTATTAATAGTTAGTAGGGTAGTTGTTAAGCTAAGGGATCTAAAATATGGTCATGCAGAATAAGGCATTAATATGTGCTTTATAAGTGCTAATAAACAGCCAATATGCTAGTAATTTGCATGCTAATAAGCAACTATTTCATAGTGAGAATTGGACCTTAAAATAAAGTGTTACCAACAATTTAACTTTTTCTTTCTTTCTTTTAGTACGAGACCAAACGCCATTTCAGCACGTCTCCACAGTAAACAAAACAAGCGTTTCCTAGCAACGACAACTGCGCTAAACACTGAGACAAGAAATAAATACACTTACTTTTCTGGCTGGATGGAAGGGAATGGTGGTTTGTGTGACTAGGATAAAGATTTTCCGTTTCTGCTGTGTAAGGGAATGAGCGTGTTGACTGTCTATGGTGATGCACAGGGCTGATTCTCTCCAGATGTCCTAGGTGCTGTATTTTAAACATAAGCATCCCTTCCTGGAATCAGTGAACTCAAGTTAGGTCAAACTTTAATGGTTGGATGGCTTTAATTGCTGTAATGGCTTGGTCAACTTTGTGGCATGCTTTAAACTAGTCTTTCGCTGTTCCCGACACCCAACGTCATAAGTGGGATTATTCATAACCTACGCAGCCGCTCTGTACTGAGACAGCCACATGCAAGCGTTTTACATTCTCTGGTAAAAACAAAGCATGTAATTAAAAATCCCAGATTTTCTCTCTGGTATCTGACATTACGAACTCCACTGTATATAGTGAATAAAAAATACCAGTTCACTAAGGGAGCTGCACAACAAGTGTTTTACATCATAGCATTGTGGATTTTATCACAGCTAAATGCTCTGTTGATTATATCCACTGATGAGGATGTCAGAACACACTTCTTTTCATCAGGAGGTTAATCAGCTACAGTTAGTATTGCTGATGCTGATAATTAGTATTTTGGTATTTATTATCATTACACTGACTACAAAACAAGCAAACAAAAAGTAATTGCACTCAGTTTTATTTTTTATACTTTTGGCAAATACCTGTAAATTATGAGACTTTTATATTCACTGTACCTCCTTCCTGATTTCCTCTTTTATTGCATCTTTTAAATAAAATATTTTATAATGGGCAAGGACTTATGAGCAATGACTGCCAGTGAAAAGGCCCCCATTGAAAAAGTAATTTGTCTTGAAAGTAAGAAATCAACATACTTTGGTTGGTTATTTAAGAGACTAAACACAGACCAGCTTTTCGATTGCCACACTACACCTAGATGTATATGAACTTATTTATTTATTCGTTGGTTTGTTTGTTTGTTTGTATGTTTGTTTATTCAAGGTGACATGACTGTATGTTAACTACTAAGAAATAACCAAATAAATAATAAAATAATACAATTTTAATTGCTCAGTTTCCCTTTCAATATTTATTTATTTATTTATTTGCTCGCTTGCTTGCTTGCTTTCTTGCTTGCAACTATTCTGTATTATGCTCTCAATCAAGATTTAAAGGAACACACAGGTTCAAATATCTATGCTCTGTTGTATCATAATTCAAACTTAGGGGCTTTACAAATAACAAACCTTTTTTTTCTCTCTCTCCTCTAGTGTTATCCCTTGAAATTATTGAGAAACTTTACTAAAAATAAATCTTATCTAAAAGTAAAACTTAAATAATTCTCAACTCCATGACTAACACAAATGAGGAGAAAAATACAGTAAAACTAAGGAAAACAGAAAAAAAAACAGGAAATGCAACGAGCGCATTCTCCCCTTGGTGTGTTATTATAAGAAACAGAGCTATTTGTTGTTTAATAACATATACTGTGCTTAACAAATTTATTAGACCACCACCCAATGTAAGGTTTGTGCCATTTTTGAGATTCGGGGCCAGAATAGAAACGCTGAATACTCAAAACCCAGAAATTGTAATAGATTATACAGTCAGGTCCATATATATTTTGTACACAGGCACAATTTTTATTATTTTAGCTGCTGACCTAAACATATTCAAGTTTAGGTTTGCAAAGGGGTGGACAATTTCCGGAAACTTTCCAAAAATCCCTGGAATATTTCCGAAATTTACTGGAAATTTTCCAGCTTTTTGCAACCCTATTCAAGTTACAGTTATATAATGAATATGAGTATTCTCATCAAAATTGGAGGAAAGGTTTAGGAATTACAGCTCTTTAAAGGGACACTTCAAAGAGAAAGGAAAAATTTAAATCGCATCATATGACCCCTTTAATATGTACCTCCCCCCCTTTTTAAGGTACCATAAGTAATTGGACAGTTGCCTCGATTCAATGATCTATGCTAAGCTACAGCTAAAAGTGCTAAAAAGCTCCACCAGACCCGGAGATCGGCTGAATGGATTCGAAAACGGTGTACACGATGTAACTACAGAAGAGTCAAGTTCCTTTAAAGAAAAATATGGACCAATCTAGGTTGATCGATAAATCTGGAGCTATTGGACCTATGCAGACAATCTAAAAAGATATATTAGGCAGCAATTTCCAAACCCAACTTTGGATAAAATACAGCATAAATCAGCCTGTACCAAGGAAGTGTGTAATGGCTGTGCCACTAGAAACACAAAATAAATACAAAAAAACAATGACTATTTTCAAACTGGTTTCCTGAGCACTCTTTCTCTCCATCTCTGGTAAAATAACACTTGAGATAATGCCTATAATGCTAGTTAAAGCAAGATTAATAACATAGCTAGTCTTACTAGAGTTCAAATAACTCAACTGGTGGAACACACATACAGTAATGATCAAATGTATACATGTATATTGTACCTTGAAAAAGTCTCTTTTAATAAAAGTGTCGACCAGATAAATGAAAATGTATTTAAACATGCATTTATTAAACATTATTAAACATACATACATTAAAAGGGGTCATATGATGCAATTTCAAGTTTTCCTTTCTCTTTGGAGTGTTACGAGCTGTTCGTGCATAGATAAAGTGGTTAAGTTGTATTTACAACACTGTTCCAGAACAGTTCAAACCAAATATTCAGATGAGTGCAGCGCATTTTACGGAGGACTGCTTCCTGATCCTGGTAGAGTAGCCTACAATGCCGGCTGTGCACAAAGGTTGTTTCTATAAAGTGGGGCAGTTCCAACTTTGCAAGGACAGTCT